ACACCCTCCCAGCCACCCACACCCCTCCACACCCCACCCATGCACCCCGTCCCTCGCAGCCAGCAAGTGGTCTCCACGCGAGGAGGGGCATGGCGCATGGCTGCAGGGTGATGCACAGAGAGCATGCACGGGGGATGTACCTCACCCCACTGCCATGTATTTCATTTGGCAGGTGCTGCTCGTGCCCCCCTGTCCTTGCAGCACCCTGTGGTCATGCACCATGCCCAACCCCTCACCCCAGGAGCACCTACTGGCTGTGGGTGGTGGGGTACACGGGGTGGGGTGGCAGAGTGCACAGACGCAGTGTGCTGCACAGGGAAGGGGCATGTGAAGCGCAGGCAGCACCCGCTGCCTGTAGTATGTGGGGTGGGGTGCCTCGCCACACTCCCCGTGCAGCACCCTGCAGCCACACGCCACACCGCCCCCCCCTTTTGGGGGGCACTTGCTGGCTGCAGACCACAGAGGGGGTGTGGTGCAGGGGATGGGTGCACAGCCGCAGGCAGCCCCAAGGGGAGTGGGCAGGTGGGTACAAGCAGCACCCGCTGGTTACAGCACATGAACGTAGGGCACACACCCACTCCCCACACAGCACCCTGCAGCCATGCACCACACAGCTTCCCATGTTTTGGTGCATGCAGAGCTGGCCCGGAGCATTACAGACAGACAGACAGAAGTGCTAAAGCTTTTATTATATTAGAATGTTTAAATTGACCCAGAAGTCAGAATGCACTTGCATATTCACTTATGTAATAGGGAAGAATAATTCCCTCCCTTTGCAAAGATTACTGATTACATTTCTAAGACTTCCCTCATCATGTTGCAGACTAACAATCCCTAGTTCATTTTAAAGCCAGTTTACACAGTGGTAAACTGTTTCCCTGACTGTTAACCAATAATAGGATTTTGCAAACAACATATGAGGGCTTTCTACTTAAACTTGCAAGGTTTTTCAGTGCTCCTGCTTCAGGGCTTATAATTATTTGAAGTGAAACAATCTAATTTAAGGGTGGAAACACATTTTTACACTGTTTAAAATGGGATTTAAACATCAATCTTCCATAAGTACAAGCCAGTTTAGAACACTTTAAACCTCCTGGAACATTTCAATGGGATACTTAGATAATCAGGTAGTATCTTGAACTGGTCCTGATGAACTGGCTCAGTGTTCTGTGTGGACTCCAAGTTTCTGCGTCTAGTCAGTCCTCCAGGCACCCCGCACCACTCCTCACCCCCACCCTAAACCTTTACTGTTTGCACTTGACAGAAATCCATCTAGGCTGGTTTTGGGTGAGGGGTGGACATAGGATGGTGGCCATTTCAAGGGCGGGGGGGGGGGGGCACTGCCTAGACCCCTGCTTCTGGGTTCTTGGGGG